CTGCTTCAGGACGGAAGCAGACGGAGGCCTGGCGTCCTGGGAGGAAGTGGCGGCAACATACGTCAAGTACGCGCTCGAGGTCGACAACAAGTACGGCAACACGAAATACCTGCTCTGTCAGATTGTCCCGGGCAAGAGCGCGACATATCAAAAGATGAATCAGTGCAAGAGCTATACCCAAATTTGCCGCGCACTCGGGCTCGAGGATCTCATCGAGCTTGCTCAGCAGACTGATCTGAACAAAGGCGTCGACCCGGAAAAGGGGCCTGGCAAGGGTGGAAAGAAGCCTAATTCAACCGCCATGGCGGCCGGCGGCAAGATGGTCGAGAGCCGGGCTGCGCAGGCCCCTCGAAACAAGTCTCAAAGGGGTGTCGGCGCGCCCAAGGAAACACAGCCAACGCAGCCGGCTCCTGCTACCTTACAAACTTGAGGTACATCACATAGGACTTCTCAACCGGGTTCATTTACATAGATAGGAGTTTGGGGCCATCGGTAAAAAAAAGCATAGCGGCATCCTGGGTCCTTCATTGACAGGCCAGGTTAATGGAATTGAGGGATATAGAACCCAAATACGACTTTTATACACATAATATTGGATAATGCCCACTCACCATGATTTGCTACGCTCTGAAGACAAGCATCGAGCTGATGAAATATGTCAATTACAAAAGGAACCGATGGTAGCGACTCTGTTCGCTTCTATGGTACAGTTCCACGCTTCCTTTATTTGCCCTTCTTCACCCAGTCCTCGACGGTTTCCCGGGCATCCGTGACCTTCTCATCAACATATCGTACACCAATCTCGCTGTGGAGCCTCGCCATCCTCCAGCTGTTCTCGATGCTCTCGCGAAGCTTGAGGTGACCCTGCGCAATAACGGGGAAACGCTGCTCGTACTTCCAGGTGAGGTTGGAGACGTTGCCCATGGTGATGGGAAGGACGGTCCAGCCGGCAGTGATACCAAAGGCCAGGGGCGCCGTGGCGCGCAGGATGATGCTGCGGTTGCGGGTGACGATGCTGCCGGCCATGGCGGCGACTAGGACGTAAATGGCGCCGGGCATCAGCTTCTCGCCGCTCTCGCGGGGCGGGGCGAGGGATGCAATCGTGCTCGTGAAGGACTGCTCGAGATTGAAGGCCTTGTCCATCGTCCGGTTGACGGCATCCTCGGCACCTACGGCGTACTGGTACAGGGCGAGGCGCGCCTTGCCGATCTGGACAGCGAGACGGTCGGTAGGGGTAGGTCCTCGCGACTTGGGTTCTTCGGCCTGGGGAGGCTGCTCGGCCTTGGGGATCGGAGGAGGGAGAGTGCCACTCGTCGCAGGGAGCTCCAGGTCGTCGTAGATGGGCTTCTTGGACTGCATAATTGTCAGCTATGCTACTATCTATGTGCTGCGAGTCGACTGCGGACGTACGTGGCTGCTCTCGGGAGCTTCAGCGTAGGCAGTTCGGGGTGCCAGGGCGAATCCTCCCAGCATAACCGTCGCTGCTAACGGCGCGGCGCGCTATAGATCTCATATTAGTCGTTACTTCGATTACTAGTTGATTGGCAAGAGAAAATTACCCGTTGTAGCAACACTCTAGCAGCCATGGTCCGCTCAATTGGTCGATTGAGGGAATTGGGTCTTGGTCTCGCGAGAATTATTTGGATGTCACGGAATGATGCTTGTGCTTGCAAGCACCTAACACCAGGCCCACTGGACGCTGGTGCGGCTATTTCCGGAGCTCGGGAATTCGATTATGCACTGGCCTGAGATGACTGGCAGCACTGCACACCCTTGCACAAAAAATTACTCCCGCCGTCAGTCCGGATACCATCCCGGCTACGGCCTATCGATTGGTTTATCTCATTCCCATTAATTCTCCCTATCCAGAAGCATTCCCATGGTCACGGCTCTTGGTCGCATTTACAACCACCCTCCTTTTTTCTTGCTACATGTTTTACTAGAATTTTCGTCTCGACTCGTAGTTATGGTCGCGCCATCGACGGATTCTTCATAATGATCAAATCTTCAACCCGCGGCCTCTGGGTCTGCACCCAATGCGTTCGGCAAGCCTCCCGAGGCCAACAGCGCCGGTGGATAGCCGCAGTGTCCGGCGCCGCTCACTCGAGCATCACGGCCGACCACTCACTTCCGGGAAGGAATACCGACGATGCGATCCTGCGCGAACTCTTCGACTCCCCCGACCGAGTGTCCAAGGCCTTCAAGGCGGCCGGCCCCAGTGTTGGCCTCTTCAAGAATCGATATCTCACTAGCCCGAATGGCTTCTACGTATTTGCCCGCAAGAGCTTGGACAAGGCGCAGAAGATTGTCCACCGAGTCCTCCATGCGTCGAGTGTGTCCGAATACCAGGCCGTCGTCAAGGACCTTGACCGTCTTAGCGACCTTCTCTGCCGAGTACTCGATCTATCCGACTTTGTCAGAATGACACACCCAGACCCCAGATTCCAGCAAGCAGCAGCCGGAGCCTGGTCGCTGGTCTATCAGTATATGAACCAGCTGAACACCATGACCGGACTGAGTGACCAATTGGTCAAGGCTATGGAGCAGCCCGAAGTGGTCGCGGCATGGTCAGAGGAGGAGAGGACGGTCGCAGAGATTCTGAAGCTGGATTTCACCAAGTCGGCTGTCGACTTGCCGCAGCAGGAGCGGGACCGCTTCGTGGACCTCTCGCAGCAGATAAGTGAGGTTGGATCCATGTTCGTCTCAGACATGCAGCCTGCGAAGCGGGAAGTTGTGCTTCCCTCATCGAGCTTCTACGGCTTATACCCCGGGATCGCTCGAGCGCTCACAATGAGGGGCAAGTTGCGCCTCCCCACCACCGGCCCTGAAGCTCAGGCCGCGCTCCGGAGCGTCAAGGACGAGGGGACGCGGAAGGAGGTGTACACCGCCATGCGTACCGCTTCGAAGCAGACAGTCGGTCTGCTCGAGACGATGCTCAAGCTTCGTTCTGAGCTGGCGGACCTGGCGGGGTTCTCGAGCTACGCCCACCTTTCCCTGAAAGACAGAATGATGGCAAAGTCTCCCGGCGCTGTGATGCAGTTTCTTCACGCGCTGCAAAAGTACAATACCCCTATTGTTCGCGAGGAAATGTCGGACCTCCTGAAGTTGAAGCAGAACCGACTAGACAGCACTGCTACTCAAGTCCATCCGTGGGACAAGGATTTCCTAATGGACGGCGTGCGGTCCGAGATGAGTCTGCCAGTCCGTCATCCCGATCACCTCCCGTCCTTTTTCTCCATCGGCACCGTCATGCAGGGCATGTCGAGATTGTTCACTCGTCTCTACGGTATTCAGTTCAGACCAAAGGAGTCGCAGCCCGGCGAGACTTGGCACGAGGATGTGCGACGCCTGGATGTTGTGACGGATACGGGCGATCTCATTGCTGTCCTGTACTGCGACCTGTTCTACAGAGAGGACAAGTCGCCCAACCCTGCTCACTTCACAGTGCGCTGTTCCCGAGCCATCGCCCCGTACGAAGTCGAAGAGGCTGCGGAAGACATCCACAACGCCACCTCCGATATGCCCAAGTTTGAGAGACCTGAGCAAGCCGCAAACGACGGTATGGAGAGCTTGCAGCAGGATGGCGTCCTGATGCAGCTGCCCACCATTGCCTTGGTCTGCGATTTCCCCAAGCACGATGCGAAGAGCTCCGCCCCGGCGCTCCTGTCGTACTACCAGGTCGAGACCTTGTTCCACGAAATGGGCCACGCCATCCACTCCATCCTCGCTCGCACCAAGCTTCAGAACGTGTCCGGCACGAGATGTGCCACCGACTTTGCCGAGCTCCCATCCACGCTGATGGAGCACTTCGCCGCAGACCCATCCGTGCTAGGACTCTTCGCCCGTCACTGGAAGACGGACGAGCCCCTGCCGTACCAGATGGTCGCCGAGCGGATCCGCCTGGCGAAGCGCTTCGAGGGCATCGACACGGAGAATCAGATCCTCCTCTCCCTGCTCGACCAGTCGTACCACAGCCCCGAGGTCGCCGGTCCGTCCTTTAACTCCACGCGCGTCTACCACGGCCTCCAGGAGCAGTTCTCCCAGGGCGGCGCCGACCCCGCCGGCACGTGTTGGCAGGGCTTCTTCGGCCACCTGCACGGGTACGGCAGCACCTACTACAGCTACGTCTTTGACCGCGTCCTCGCCGAGCGGGTCTGGCGCGTCGTCTTCTCCGCCGGCGCCGACGGCAAGGCGCTCAGCCGGGAGAACGGCGAGCGACTCAAGGAGAACCTCTTAAAGTGGGGAGGCAGCCGGGACCCGTGGCAGTGTCTGGCGGATACCTTGCAGGACGACCGTCTTGCCAAGGGCGATGACAAGGCCATGGCTTTGGTGGGTAGCTGGGGCATCAAGGATGACCATGCGTGAGGGACGTATACCAGCCAGTGTATTATATATGTAAGAAGGTCCGCATCGTACGAGACTAGAGTTGTATAAGAGTAGACATGTATCAATGACTAGATCGCACTGATACGCTCATCTTGTATCAACGCCGTGATAACACTCATTCTGTCCCTAGAGGCTCGTACCTGACAGCCAGCTCTGCTTACGTGGAAAGATATAAACAGCGCCGACCGTCCCTGCCTTACCAAGCCTTCATCTGATGAATTTTCCCACCCCCGAATACACAGAGAATACACACAGGAAGAAGCCTATATACCCCCCCTCAAGTCCATTCTCGCCACCAGCAACAGCAGGCGCCCCTCTAGGTCGGGGGGGTCAGGACAAACTGGCTGGGTGGTAGAGTGGTTCAAGGCCAACAATCAAATTACGCCCACAGCCTACTCGACGACAGGCTCACGAGTTCCCGAGTTCGAATACCAGTATGAGCACCAAGGGATGTAGCCCCCAATTCAGCACTGGGGGGTGAACTCTTTTTGACTGTTATTATATCTAGTAGATATCGGCATGGCTATTCGTCTAATATTCCCATGTCTCCAACACCATTCTCACGACACCCGCCCCCACCCCCCTTCATGAACCCGCATCATGAACAGAACCTATCACAGACACCTCTTCTGGCAAACATCAACAATACAAGCAGAACACTACAACACCCATCGATTAGCGGTGCGTGGTTTCCAGCAAATGAACTAAAACAAAAGTCAATAACCACGAGAGAAACTCACGTATTTATCTCCATTCGCTTCCTTGTACCAGCAATATCCGGACCCCTTCGCTCTGCAGCAGTCGCACTCGACTCTTCTGGGCAGCAAACCACCGCCGACATTGTTAGGCGAGGAGGAATGGTCGAGAGAGCGGGCTTCTCGGACTTCTGCGGTGTCTAGGGCTGCCGCGGCGGCGGAGGAGAGGAGGAGGGGGAGGATGGTGAAGACGGAGAATTGCATGGTGGGCGATGTGGTGCCGTCTGGTGAAGTTGCAAGTGAGTCTGCTGTGTGTAGTTACACGGGTAGGGGCAGGGTGAGAGGATTGGGTGATGCTTTGAACGAGTTGGTGTATGGAGCTGGGGTAAAGTAGTTTGATTTGCTGCGATCATGGCCCAATTTATACATGATAACCTCGATTGTTACGTGGTTGGTACAAGTAGGTACGGTAGGTGCGTAAAAAGGAGCAAATTCCCGTAAACGATACTCTAGCCTTTGAGTTGGCTTTTGAGTTGAGCCTAGTCAGATTACACGCCGTAACCTTCTGACTCTACAAATCATTGCAATGTCTACAATCTCATTTCTCTGTGTCCTCGCCAAGAGTTCTTCTACTTTATGGTTCTCGTAAAAACCCCTGTACAGCTAAACGGCCAATTGGCCGTGGTGAGAGTTTGGGGCACCAGTCGATCTTTCAAGGCTGTGAATCGTCTCGTTATTTTGGGTATTGGGTTATTTCTTTAGGACCCCCAAAAAGTCAAATATAGTTTAGTCAAAGCTAGAGACAACTTTGAGACTCAACCGCCCTACGCCAACAATAGACAGACCCCTTTACCATCATCCTCATTTGATTTTCCCCCTTTCGTACCTTTTCACATGATGATATTGGATCGTTGTAGAGTCTCAAGAGCTCCAGCAGTGGTTTATAAATAGGTCGCACATTTCACTGTGGACGGCGTCACCGAGGGGCTGCTGCTCATCTAACACGGGCCATTGGGCAATCTTCAGAAAAAAGCGTCGAAACCTTCCAGCCCATTTCCCCTGTACATCAGCTGTTCTTTAATGCCAATGTGTACCTCAACGTCCACTCCTGGTTTAGCTTAGTAGTTGGTTCTGCTGAGGGCTACTCATAAACTAGAGCCCATGTATCAGAGTAGAAGTGTTACGTTATATCTACTGGAGAACCAACATACAATCGCATCCTCGCAATTGGCAAGTAAATGATCAACTTCAGAATCTTTATCATCGTTGTATTCAGGGAAATCATCTCTGTGCCCAGGCGTAGCAGAGAAAATAAACAGAGGGCTAGCTCTCCCACTGCTCCGCCACTAAATCTCTAGCGAGGCCTGAGAAAGGAATCCTGGATTTTTCCGCAGGCCAATGAGGTGACCTACAAGCTACCCAATACCTCCAAGTCAAAGAGCAGAAGCACATGCTGCGCACCTCACTCAATAAGGTGACGTCGGAAACCCCAAACCCCGCAGGTCCTTAAACTCCCGGGCCTCCTCCGAAGGCCAACGGCCAACAGCCCTCCGAAAAGCCGGTCGTGACGAGGGCTCCGGTCATCATCCCACCGGAGCCGACTCACCACAGTGGAGTCACCCGGACCACGGACGTCGTCGGCATAGCAAACTTACCCAGCCGGACAGCTGCGCTGACCCCCGTCAGTCCATCCCCAGCATATCACCTCAAAAGTCCTCCACAACAAACGTCTACCTCCACGACCCCGAAGAAACGAAACAGACCAAATAGGGCAAAACCACAAGACACCAACGGAGAACGAGGTCGTACAAGCAGGCATCTAAGCAGCGGGAGAAACCCCAACCCGATGCCTACCAGCCAGCAGACGACATGCGGAACAAGGTAGGAAGACGTTTATGAAGCGAACTCCCTCTAGCGCACAATATCCAGGTACATCACAGCTTGGGCGTATGGCATGGCGTGGGAGGTCTAGATCCCCATCACATCAGACGATAACCTCACGCCAGCCCTATCGGAATCGAATCATGCTCACGTCCCGGAACTTCGCAGCACCCTCATTGATGACCAACGGCATGCCGCTGAGCGGTGACGGTCCCCATCCCTCCCTAGACCTGTGCCGTACAAGCTACTCACTCCTCCCTTCTAGCGCATGCAGACTCCGAGCAGGGCAGCGGCAGACCGACCGGTTCCTTCGGAGGGAACAAGATCCCGGATGCTTACTGCCTAGGTTTGGGACTTGAAAAGGGACGAGAGAGAGCTGCCAGGGTGGGTACATGGGGAAATAGAAGATGACAGCTCGCATGAACCCTCCCAAACGTGGTGTCATGTTCTCACGATCATTGCCCTAGCTCACAGCATACGTGGGCTCGTGGAGCTTAATTTAACCGGGGGAGTTAACCTAAAGCAGGGGATCTGTAATGAAATATTGCATCTATTGACATGTGTCTGCCTCATGTGGTAAATCTCATCCCTAAAAAGCTCAGCTATGGTGGAAAAAAACAAAATTGAGATCCAAGTACCCCTGCTTTGCAACAGAGCGTACTTAGCGACTATCCCCTTTAGCTCCTGAAAATGCCGTGATAACAACCGTACCGCGCCGCCACACTCCCCAACACCTGCCGGATAAGTTGGAAGAGAGAAAGTGATGATTTCATGTCTGCGTCTTTCCTTACATGCCTGGTGTCTTTCAGGCTGTGGATTATGTGTTCGCGTTTGTCGTGTGAAGTGGGATTTGTATGATACAAATATGCCCGAGTAAGAATGTCCCTGAATCGGACTCAAAATTAAGGGAATCTGTGTCTAAACTGCCATGGGGGTTGCGGTAGGGGTAGGCGATGCGCCGCCAGGCAATTGGAGGAAGCCGCCGTAGTATTCGTCTAGCCAGCGGGCAGCCTCCTCGCCGGCGTCGTCCATGCTGGAATCCCATCGGCCAACGGAACCCACATAGCCGTCAGGTCGTACGTTGACAATGGAAACCTCACCGGGACCGAGGCTACCAAGCCACTTGTTCGTGCAAAGCTGGCCACGCGTGTCCTGTTCTGGAATGTCGTCCAGGTAGAAGGTCCAGCGGCTATCCTGCAGCAGGGCAGGCAGGTCCGAAATCTCCACATCATCTTTAGGCATTGTAGCTATGGCTAGTGTTAGTAATTAAACTGAATTGCTGGTGAACAAGACTCACTAATCAAGGCAAATGTGAAGAGATGGCTGACGGCCGTGTATCTCTCGGGCCGGTAGTAGATGTCTTCAGACGATGGCAGTCTGGGCTGCGCAGCGTAAGAAGCACTAGCCGAGGCTGAGAGCTTGCTGATGAAAGAGTTGGCCGAGGCGATGGATTGGCAGAAAGTCTCCAGGAAAGGGCTCGACGCCTGGATATCCCACATCAAAAGGTAGATGCGGAACTGTCCGAGCATCGGGATGTCGAGCTGAATATCCACAGGATTTGAGTCGATGTATCTAGTGACCTTGGCCGGGGGAAGCAAGCAGCCAGGTCTGGCATCTCCCATGATGAGGCCTTGAGAGTCGGGCCTGTTCAGGGGGCTCTCAGAGTACTCAGCGCCGATGCCAGAAATGAAACGGACATTCGTCTTGAAGTTTTCTGACAGTGCTACCGCGTCACCTCCCGCAATCTGATTGGCGTGCTCGTAGTCGAAGTTGACCAGGTCAACAGCGATCTTTCTCCGCTCTTCTTCGTAACTCTCGAGCAGGCATTGCTTCGCGAGTCCTCGAATGCTCAGGTTGAGCTTCCACGCAATGTTCCACGAGTCATGCATAGAGGTGTTCATGCCCTGAGCAGACTTGGGGGAGTGCGTGTGACTGGCATCACCAGCGAGGAACGCCCTCAGATGGGGGTCGGTGAACCGGCTGGCCACTCTCTGACCAATCTGGTAACGTCCGAACCACTCGATATACTTCCAGTCGACCTCGAAAGGCGCCATGATCTTCTTCGCTCGAGCCATGACGAATTCCTGGCCAAGCTCTCGCTTGTCGGCCTTGGGGTTCGCCTTCAGCTCAATGTAGAAACGGGTCATATTCCTCTCTCTCGGGATAATCAGAATAGAGCCGTATTCCTGAGAGTACACTAGCGTCTTGGACCAAATGTCTGGGAAATCGGTGATAAGTTCGCCATCGAGAACACCCCAGATTGCTGGTTGCGAAAGGCCAATAGCCCGTGCATCAGGAATGCTCTTTCGTACTTTGGAGTGGGCACCGTCACCTTTTTCGGGTCAGTATATGTCTTTCCCAGCGCAGCGGTTTTGTAGTAGTTCACTCACATCCAACCAAGTACTGTGTCAGGATTGTCCGCCGGTCTTGGGTTACGTTTGTGCGACAGTTAACCTGTAGGGGCCCCGCCTTGTTTTCCGGAACGCTGTAGGACTCGAATGCGGTATTCCTCCGTACCTCGACCCCGCGCTTCTTCAAGTCATCGATGAAGAGGCCTTCAACCATACCCTGGTGAACGAGCAAAATGTAGGGATCGAGGACGTCAATGACGGGAGGGTAGTGTACCTCGCGGCCCAGTCTGTGCAGCGGCTCGTCGGCAGTGCTTCGCCAGAAGGAAATGTCGTAGACACGAACACCGCGGAGGAGCAGAGGGTCGGCGAGGCGCATTTGACGGAAAGTCTCGATCGTCTTGGGCTGCAGTCCGTCTGCTCTATCTCGGGTATTAGCTTACAGAGGCATGGTAGGTATGTGTGTATGGATTGTCTACCTTCCAACAGGCGTCTGGTCAGCTCTGTCGTCAATAAGCTCGACCTTAATTCCAAAGCGCCCGAGATTGGCAGCCAGCATCAAACCAGCGGGGCCAGCACCAACCACGCACACCTGGGCCTCTATAGGAGGCTCAGGCAAGCTGCGCAGGAGGGTGAGTGTGTCTACAGTGGGATCGATAGCATGGAGACGGCCAGCGGCGGTGCCGGCCAGCCCGTTCGTCGGGGCAGTCTGTCCGTTTTGGTCCTCCATTGAGCCGTCCGAGTTAAGTACACCAGGTGCCATAGTCGAGAGGCGTGTTGTGATGTCACAGTCTCACAGGACTACCGAATCGAGGTAATTGGTCGTCGGTATGTGATACTGGGTGGTTTGCAAAGTAAGTGACTAGCTAGCTAGCTATGGCAGAGGACCAATCGCCAACGAGGTCGAACGAAGACTATTGGAGAGGTAGGTGTAGGTGTTCAGGCTGGCTTGCCGCGCTCGCACGGCTTGCGGTTGAAGACTTTCGAACGTGGGGTCAAGGATGTAATGCGCGGGCTTGAGATACACCACACTGG